AAGTTGGAAGGTTAAAAACATTAACTTAAAAGAATTGGAGGTCTTCTAATCCAACCCCTTACTCAGACAGGAGATCCTATATCATCTCAGACAAATGGTTGTCCAACATCTTCTTAAAAACTTCCAGCATTGGAGGCAACTTCTGTAGGCAAGTCGTTCCACTGATTAATTGTTCTGACTGTCAGAAAATTTCTCCTTGGTTCTAGGTTGCTTCTCTCCTTGATGAGTTTCCATCCGTTGCTTCTTGTCCTGCCCTCAGGTGCTTTGGAGAATAGTTTGATTCCCTCTTTGTGGCAACAGTGCTATTGTGTCACCCTATAGAGCAGTGTTTCTCAACCTTGGTAGCTTGAAGATGGGTGGACTTCAACTCCCAGAATCCCCCAGCCAGCAGCGCTGGGGAAGGATACTGCAAAATCCCCATTCCCTCCCGACTCCAGGGGAAGGATATTGCAAACTCTACATTTCCCACTCCACTCCTGGGGGAAGGATACTGCAAAATCCCCATTCCCTCCCGACTCCAGGGGAAGGATATTGCAAACTCTACATTTCCCACTCCACTCCTGGGGGAAGGATACTGCAAAATCCCCATTCCCTCCCGACTCCAGGGGAAGGATATTGCAAACTCTACATTTCCCACTCCACTCCTGGGGGAAGGATACTGCAAAATCCCCATTCCCTCCCGACTCCAGGGGAAGGATATTGCAAACTCTACATTTCCCACTCCACTCCTGGGGGAAGGATACTGCAAAATCCCCATTCCCACCCCTCTCTGAGGCCAGCCAGAGCTGGTATTTGCCGGTTCTCTGAACTACTCAACATTTCCGCTACCGGTTCTCCAGAACCTGTCAGAACCTGCTGGATTTCACCCCTGTTACAACCCCAACTCAAGTTTCAAATATAGAATGGCATCCATTTCCTGTCTAACGCAGTTAAAGGTTCCTCAATATAAAAAGATTTATATTTTGGCACATGTGCATGTCCTCCCCTTGGCTATGTGTAGAAGAAAAATATAGGAAGATTAATCTCTATGCTGGGATGGTCGCGTGTGAAAATGGTCTTCACTGTGTATTGTACTACAATATTGCAGCTCATTTGTTGACTTCAGAACTGGCCACATGGTGGAAAAAGGAGCCATGGATGGAAACCAGTCAAGGAGAGAATCATTTTTTTTTTTTTAAATTTGATTTATATGCCACCCTTCTCCGAAGACTCAGGGCGGCTTACAATGTGCTCAGCAATAGCCTTCATCCTTTTGTATATTTATACAAAGTCAGCTTATTGCCCCCACAAACTGGGTCCTCATTTCACCTACCTTAGAAAGGATGGAAGGCTGAGTCAACCTTGAGCCTTGGCGAGATTCGAACCCTGCAGTAATTGCAGGCAGCTGGTCTTAATAAGCTTAATAACAGGGTGCCTTAAACCCCTGTACTACCAAGGCTTTAGGACTAAGGAGAAATGTCCTGATGGTGAGAACAATTAATGAGTGGAAAAACTTACCTCCAGAAGTTTGGGTGCTCCAACACTGGAGTCCCAAGGGTGCTTTTTCAGAAGGCAACTAGATTTTATTTTTTTCCTTTGGAGACGTTTCGCTTCTTATCCAAGGAGCTTCGTCGGTGCTGACTGGAATGGTGGAGGATGGAAGGATTTATATTCCTTGCAAGCAGCTGGACGTTAGCGCTCTCTCGGAGAGCTGTGGAGGCCACTTGGAAGTTGATCTGAATCCTACATTACATCTGCATTAAGATTGAACGGTCCTCCCTCAACAGAGGGATACGACATCCTCTATCTTCAGTCTACAACACAGATCCTTTCAGCAGCTCCAAGAAGGGTCCACACCCGTTTGTACCACTCGGGTGACCCCGAGGACATAGACAGACCTCCAAGTGGCCTCAACGACTCTCAGAAGGAGTGCTAACAACCAGATGGCTGCAAGGGATATAAATCCTTCCATCCACCGCCATTCAGTCAGAACTGAAGAAGCTTCTAGGATGAGAAGCGAAAGGGAGAATAAAGTCCAGTGGCCGTTTGAAAAAAAAAATCTTTGGGACAATCAGAGCCTTGGTAGTACAGTGGACTAAAGCACCCTGTTATTAAGACAAGCTGCCTGCAATTACTGCAGGTTCAAATCTCACCAAGGCTCAAGGTTGGCTCAGCCTTCCATCCTTTCTAAGGTAGGTTAAATGAGGACCCGGTTTGTGGGAGCAATAAGCTGACTTTGTATAAATATACAAAAGGATGAAGGCTATTGCTTAACGCATTGTAAGCCGCCCTGAGTCTCCGGAGAAGGGGCGGCATATAAATCAAATAATAAAAAAAAAATCACGACCCAGATGACTGAGAATCTCTGTAGACATGCAGCTCACCTATTCATCCATTAGTGATAAGAATGCCATCAGTTTTACCCCCATGTATTTATTACTTTTGGATAATGACTTGTCCATTATTTATAATGTAGCCAAATCAGTGGTGAAATCCAAAATTTTTTATTACCGGTTCTGTGGGGCATGGTTTGGTGGCTGTGGTGTGGCTTGGTGGGCATGGAGGGGAAGGATACTGCAAAATCTCCATTTCCACCCCATTCCTGGGGGAAGGATACTGCAAAATCCCCATTTCCTCCCCACTCTGGGGCCAGCCAGAGGTGGTATTTGCCGGTTCTCCAAACTGCTCAAAATTTCCACTGCCGGTTCTGCAGAACCTGTCAGAACCTGCTGGATTTCACCCCTGAGCCTAATCCTACGTGTCAATATATGAAATAAAACAGGAATTGATCTGTAGTGCATGCGAACTGGACTAGAAACATGCCATGTCCATATTTTGCTCTTATTACTTAGACATTGCAAAGTAACAGTTATGATTTCAGCTAGATTAGATACTATTCCAAGGTTAGAGTTACGGATAAGGGCCAAAATTTATTTTTGTTGCTTTAGTTCACTTCATTAAAAAAAACAACTTATAGATCTTGGAGCAATTTCTTAGTTCATTTATTCCTCTCTTTTTCAATTTTATATTTGTCATTATTTATATTGTATAATAAGATGCAGAATTTAGACTTCTTTTAGTGTTAATTCACAGATTTAGTTGTAGATTGTAAGTATTTTGCTATAAACATATTGGAGGCAATTAAAGAGCTTGCTTTAATCAATACAAAATTATTGCATTTTGGATTGCCTATTTATGTTTTATCCTGGCGAGAACATTCCCATCAATCATCATCAACAATAATTCTCAACTTCCTTTGGGAAAAAGAGCCTATTTCCTCCACAAAGCATTTTCTGTCCAATGAAATATCACAACAACCCTGCAGTGTAGGCTAATTTCAGGCTGGCTGGCAAACATTCAGTGACATTCAGACTTCAGAGACGCACAAACATTTCCACCCATCTCCTCAATTTAAAAACCAGTCTACCTTTGGCTTTAACTTTGTGTTGAAAAAAAAGTTGGCACATACACAAAAGTCGGCAAATACACAAAAACGAAACAAAAAACAACGCACGCAAGGCCCACACGCCGTTCCTCGGAGGCAGCACCGTGCTTCACGCAACGACAAATTGTCCGATGCTTCCAAAATGTAACTTACACACAGCCACAGATGCAACAAGGTGAAACAACTTTCCACAGAAGTTCTGTCGAATAGTTCCAGCTTGTCAAATTAGTTTGTTAATTATGATTTTTTTTTTCTTCCCCTGCTTTCCCTCACCTCTCCACCCTCCGGGGACTTCCTAATGAAGTCATCGGTGACAAGAATGTTTTGCGTGGTGGAACAAGCGATGGTTTTAAAGAACTCCTTGGAGCAGCCGAAAATTGCAAGGGCAAGTTTTTCCTGCTCCTGGGACATCCCTCCCTGTCAGGAATCTATGCACCGATCACATGCACATGTCACCAGAAGCCGAAAGAGAGAAAGAAGGATGACACTGGGAATGACTAATCTTGAAGTTTTGTCATTGCATCAAAGAAGCTATTCATTAAATTGAAAGCACTGCCCATTTCTTCCTACGAAGGATGCATTTAGAAGAAGCATCTCGCCAACGCTCGTTATGAATTCTGTCCTGGCGTTCACAAACCCCAAAACTGCTCCAATTTTTTGTTTTTTTTTAAAAAAGCGACAATAACACAGTGCAGTCAAATCTAGTAAAGAATTCCAACAAGATCCAAATGGTAAGATTCAAATTCAGGAAAGCATGCAATGTAATCTAATCGTTTCGATGTGCGTGCGTGTGAGTGGAGGGGGAAACTTTGAATTAAACTGTTCTTTTTTCTTATCGATAAACTTTTTCAAAGTATAAAGACTTCCTCGCCAGATCAAAAGCAAGTTATCTTTCCCCCACCCCACCCCCTCCTTAAAAATATCTCTTTTTAAGAATAGCTTGAAAAGTGAAAAATCTACCAAAATGACAATTCCAATAACGGAAGGAGAAGATAGACAACACATCCTTACTTCTTTGCAGTAAAAGCCACTCCCTATCACCTTCAATTTTTAGTTTTAGTTTTTTGATTCGGTGACTCTTTCAATTAATAAGTAAAAACTTTTCCCCTTCGGTCCCGGAGCAATCAAACATTCCAGACACAATAAATGCCACTTTGAGCTCCGATCCATAAACAGTCCTTTTTTCTTTCTTTCTTTTCTTTTCTTTTCTTTTCTTTTTTCTTTTTCTTTCTTTCTTTCTTTCTTTCTTTCTTTCTTTCTTTCTTTCTTTCTTTCTTTCTTTTTTTTTTTGGTATTGGTTCAATTTGATTCCTAAGACAGCCGCAAGATCAGGCAGATGAAAGCAAGGGAAACTGGCAAGAAAATACTATATTGTCTTCCACCGAAGCAGGAAGAGGGAATAGAAAGCTGTGGCTCCAATTACTCACCTGCTCCTTCCTTCTCAGGTGAAGGTTTCCAACAGGTCTCCTCCTGGAGCTACAATATATATATATATATAGACAACAGGTATTGGGCAAAGTCCGCTGTCATCATTTGCCTTCTCACATTCCTAAATCACTCTCAAGGCACAACCTACCTTAGCTTCTTTTTTTCCTTTTTCTTTCTTTTCTTTTCTTTTCTTTTCTTTTCTTTTCTTTTCTTTTCTTTTCTTTTCTTTTCTTTCTTTCTTTTTTTCCCACCCCCGTGAAAAGCTAGCTGGAGTGAATGCCAATTTTAAAAGGGCCACCTTCGCCCGCTCTGTCCGTCGATGTTCGTCTGCCAAAACATGCCTGAGTATTATAACCATTTAGCGGTGACTTCTTCTAATTGGCCAGCCTGTTTATTATATACCTCTTTAGCTCCTTCGGGACAAAACAATAGGGCTTGCCCCGACGAGATAGAAAAGTATTGTTTCTGGAAAGGGCTTATCTTCCCCGTGGATCTGCTTCCAAAGAAAAGAAAGGATTATCTGGTACTGCACATAGACATTAAACCTCATTACTTTAAGAAGACTTTTGGAAATAATGGGACAACACTGTTTAATTATTTGGCAAGTGGGGGGGGAGGCCTTTTCTCAGCCACCTTGTTATAAGCCATCAACTTTTTTGGAGGGGTATCTGCGCCTTTTCGAGGGAAGGGTGTGTGTGGATGAAACCAAGGAGGGAGTAGGTCAGGAAGCATGTTGGAAAAAGGTGTGACAGATGCCTACTGAGAAAGGGCCAACGTGCATGTCTTATAATTATGACATAATTATCTGTTGGGAGATAAGGAGGAGCTCAATTTTTAAGAGAATAGCAGAGTTGGAAGGGACCTTGGAGGTCTTCTAGTCCAACCCTCTGCTCGAGCAGAAGACTCTCCCCCATTTCAGAGAAATGGTTGTCCAGTCTCTTCTTCAAAACCTCCAGTGATGGAGTAACCACAACTTCTTGTTCCATTGGCTAATTATCCTCACTGTCAGGAAGCTTCTCCTTAGTTCCAGGTTGCTTCTCTCCTTGATTAGTTTCCATCCATTGTTTCTTCTCCTGCCTTCTGATGCTTTGGAAAATAAGTTGATCTTCTCCACTTTGTGGCAGCCTCTCAAATATTGGAAGACTGCTATCATGTCCTCCCTAGTCCTTCTTTTCATTCAACTAGACATACCCAATTCCTCTAACCGTTCTTCCAAATATTGATCACCTTTCCTGATTTACAACAGTTCATTTAGTGACCATTCCAAGTTGCAGCGCCACTGAAAAAAAAGTGAGTCGCCACTGTTTTTCCACACTTAACGACCGCTGCGGTCGTAAGTGTGAAAAAAAGTGGTGACTCAGTTTTTTTTCAGTGGCGTCGCAACTTCAAACGGTCCCTAAATGAACTGTTGCAAATCAGGAAAGGTGGAAACTGAAATCTCTTCTTCTCCACGGAAAATAAACAGATGTGTGTTTGCCATTCTGCAGCCAGCCAGGTGCTGGATTAATGGCATTAAATGTGCACTGTCAACATTGTAATTAACTTTATTTATTTAGTTTTTTTTCCCCCTCCACCCTAGCTCACAGGTCCCAGATAATGGTCACACACACCTTTTGCCTTATTTCTAGCTTCATAACAAGCCGACATGGTGGATTTAAACTGAGAAAGAAAGGTTTAGCTACTCCAGTTGACTCTTTGAAGGCCAGCTGACTTTCCCAGTGGTTTCGAAATTGCAGGAGGATTGTTAGAAGGAAAATTCAATTTTCCTCCCTCCCACTTAGCTAGTGAAGTACCGTGTTTCCCCGAAAATAAGACCCTGTCTTATATTTTTTTCAACCCCGAAATAAGCGTTGGCCTTATTTTTGGGGAGGTCTTATTATATTGGGGCATGTGGAACAAGATGGGGCTTCTCTTGCCGCCTTCCCTGATTTCCAGCTCTGCACTTAAATATTTTCGGGGAGGGGTTATTTTCAGGGGGGAGGCTTATTTTAGCGCATGCACTCAAAAGCCCCAATTTTTTTTTTATTTGATTTATATGCCGCCCTTCTCCGGAGACTCAGGGCGGCTTACAATGCGTTAAGCAATAGCCTTCATCCTTTTGTATATTTATACAAAGTCAGCTTATTGCCCCCACAATCCGGGTCCTCATTTTACCTACCTTAGAAAGGATGGAAGGCTAAGTCAACCTTGAGCCTGATGAGATTTGAACTTGCAGTAATTGCAGGCAGCTGATGTTAATAACAGTGCTTTAGTCTGCTGCGCCACCAGGGCTTATTGGGCTTATTATCAGGGGATGTCTTATTTTCGGGGAAACAGGGTAGTTTTGATTGGGAGCTCTCCAGAATAGGATAACTGGAATGCCACAATGCTTCTTTGGAGAATTATTAAAAGACAATATAATGCAAAATAAGGACATTGTTCCCAGACATCTGTGCCATGTTTCCAGATGTTCCCAGATATCCAACCAACTAGGAATTGATAAAAAGACTAAGAAATCCACAAAGGGGAAATTAAAATAAACTAGTCACCAATTAGCCATCCTGAATTTTTTTGGGGGGGGGGGAACTCTTTGAGTTTGGTGTGATGGGTTTTTTTTTTTTGCAAAAGTTCCTCACTGTTTATTTTCCACCAGTCTTCTTTGAATACTAAATGTTCCGAGCTGGGGAATAGGACAAGGAAATTGTGAAATTTCTACTCGGGTAGGTACATCTTGACCTGATTTATTATATAGATGTTTTAATTTCAGAAGGACATTGGCTTTTGGCCCAGTTGGAAGTTCCCTGATAGCAGCCTGGCCTCTAAGAGGATCAGACCAGGGATGGGCTCCAGGGAGTTCGGCAGGATTCGGGCGATCCTCTAGCCAAGGATCGTCGGGGTTCGGCCAACCCCCAAATGCCACCCCTGGCTGGCCACGCCTATCCTGCCCCTCCCCTCCCAGGAGTCTCCACACGTCCCGTTCATCATGCCAGGTAAATGCAGGGCCATGTGGAGGATCTGGGAGGGCAAAAATTGGGCCTACTGGAGATTCCGGAAGTCCGAAAATGGGCCTGTTTCTGGCCTCCAGAGGGCTTCCGGAGCCCAGGGGAAGCAGTTTTCGCCCTCCCGGCGGCTCAAGGAAAGCCTCCGGAGTCTGGGGAGGGCGAAAAAGCCCCCCCCCCACCGTGGTGCAGGTGGCCAACTAGGCCATGCCCACCATGGCCACGCCCACTCAGCAACAGGGCAGCGAATCGTTGCTAAAGGATCTGAAGCCCGCCCCTGGATCAGACCAAGTCAATTTGAGGTTGGGAAAAAAATCACCCCAGGATGCAATATTTCACATTTGACACCGGTCGTCCTCGATTTACGACCACAATTGAGCTCAAACTTTACATGGCTCAGTGAGAAATATGTTAAGGGAGTTTTGCCCCATTTTACGACCATCGTTGGCACAGTTGTTCAGTGACGCATTGCAGTTGTTAAGTGAGCAACACGTTTGTTAAGTCAATTCTGGCGTCCTCGTTGACTTCGACAGTCAGAAGGTCACAAAGGGGGAATCCAGTGACCCCGGGACACTGCGACCATCATAAATATGAGTCAGTTGTCAAGCCTCCGAATGTAAGCCTGAGAAACGGTCCTAAGTCACTTCTTTTCAGTGACAGTCACTAAATGAGATGTTGTAAATCAAGGATGATCTGAAAGCGCCTGGAGTCAGTGAGAGCGAGGTGGGCAGCCCTATAGATACAAATACAAATTAACAGAGTTGGAAGGGACCTTGTAGGTCATCTAGTCCACCCAAGCAGGAGACACTACGTCATTTATGACGGATGGCTGTCCAGTTTCTTCTTGAAAGCTTCCACGGATGAAGCTCCCACAACTTCCGAAGGCAACTTCTGTTCCATCGGTTGATGGTTCTCACTGTCCGAAAATTCCTCCTTATTTCTAAGTTGAATCTCTCCTTGTTCAGTTTCCATCCATTGTTCCTTCTCTGGCCTTCAGGTGCTTTGGAGAATAGCTTGACCCCCTCCTCTTTGTAATATATATTTACATGTATTTATTTTATAAATAAAATAAAGTCTCCCTTTTCTGCTAGAAGTAGGAATGCAACTACAAGGCCCTTCTGGGACACCCTAAAATCATCAAGTGCTTTCCTCCTACTAGTCCTTATATTTAAGCGATCTGCTCCCTCCCTCTTGGCAGTCTCGCTCATTAGTACTGCAAGAGCTGGATTGATTTCTTTAGGAAAGCCAAAACTCAAGAACAATGTTTTATTCATTAGGAGCCAAGTAGGTAAGACTCTGGAGGGCATCTGTCAAACTAATTGTAGCCACATCTCATTTCTAAGAAAGCAGCAGCCCATCAATAACACGGAACAATTTAAAAAGAAGAAGAAAAAAGGCCGAGTTACGTAACAATTCTTAATTCTCTGCAGGTCATTGAATCCTGCTAAACTAAGGTAAAGGGTACAGAAGCGTAGCGGAAATATCTTTTTACAGGAATCGAAAGAAAACTGCAGAGTTTTCTTTGAACCCTGGGTTCATTTGTGGGTGTGGTGTATTTTTTTACTACATCCACTTTACTACATCCATTTATCTACTATATTATAATTTTAGCCCGAAGCAAAATTGATATCCAAAGAATGGAAGCGAGACGACGCAGGGAATATCCTATGAGGATTTGAGGGCTGCCGCAAAGAAGAGGGGGGGGGAGGTCAAATTATTCTCCAAAGCACCGGAAGGCAAGACAAGAAACAATGGATGGAAACTAACCAAAGAGAGAAGCAACCTGGAATTAAGGAGAAACTTCTTAACGAGAGAAGTCCTTCAGGATAATCACCAACCTTTCTCTCCCTTGACAAAGACCTACTTGGCAAAGCCACACAGAGTCCAGAATCAAACAAGAGATGCCGACTGGAAACAGAGTTAGCAACGTTGCTTTCTTGCAAAAAGCCCAAGTCCCTTTGTTTCTCTTTTAGGCTTTATGGGAGGGGCCAATCATCTCCAGGCCTTACTCCCTCGTCCGAGCCTTCCCCAGACTCCAGGACTGACCCATGTTCCTCCCCAGCCTTCTCACTGTCCAACTCCACTGCCAGCTCCACAGGCTGCTGGCGGACCACAACACTAGCTTTCTTATTTCTTATGTCCAAAAATATTCTGATATCATAAAGCCCAGTTGTGTGACTGCCAAAACATACCCTGGAAAATGCTACTCCAAAATTGCAATTCACCCGCTGCAAGAAATGGTGTCTCTAGATACAGTTCTATGTCCCGAGTTCATCACATTTTCTTCACCTTTCTGAAGACAATGGAGGCGCCTCCTCAGCTTCTCAACCCCTTCCTCTGGTTGTGTTGTTGTGGTCCGCCAGCAGGACTCCTGCGGAGCTTCCAGAGTCGGGCATCAGAGAGGCAGAGGAACAGGAGGAGCCTGTTCCTAGTGCACACATGCGCAGAGCTACCAGAAGGCAAGAGCAGCTAAAGCAAAAGGGACGACTCGGGAATAAGGCCTGGAAATGATTGGCCCCTCCCATAAGGCTTAAAAGAGAAACAAAGGCACTTGGGCTTTTTGCAAGAAAGCAACGTTGCTAACTCTGTTTCCAGTCGGCATCTCTTGTTCGATTCTGGACTCCGTGTGGCTTTGCCAAGTAGGTGTTTGTCAAGGGAGATAAAGGTGGGTGATTATCCCAAAGTACT